ACCCACGATGAGGCCGGTGTGGCCCTTGGTGGGGTCGTAGGGACATTTGCCTTTGCCGTCCTCGAATGCCACCGGGTCCAGGGTGAAGCCGGAGAGCTCCTGGGGGGCACGGGGAGGGTGGGGGGTCCTAAGTCAGGTCCCCCCCCCTGCCAGACAGGCCCCAGGCACAGGGACATCCCCCTGAGTGACCCTCCTGGGGACAGGGACAGCCCTCGAGGAGACAGGGACAGCCCTGATGACCCATCCTGGGGACAGGGACAGCCCTGGATGATCCCTTATGGGGACAAGGACACCCCTGGACCATCCTGGGGACAGTGGCACCCCTGGATGACCCACGCTGGGGACAGGGACACCCCTGGATGAGCCATCCTGGGGACAGGGACACCCCTGGATGGGCCACCCTGGGGACAGGAACCCCTCCAGAATGACCCACCTGGGACACCCCAAGTGCGCAGCAGACACCCCCAACCCTCCCTCACGCACACAAACCCCACCCCACGCGTACAAGGACACCCCTAAACGCCACCCCTGGGGACAAGGCCACCCTGCAGGGGGGCACTGGGGTCCCCCCGGCCTTTGGGGACCCCCACTCACGATGTAGGTGCACTTGGGCTGGAAGGCGTAGGTGCCGCAGGCGTACAGGTGAGAGCTGTTGTAGCTCTGCAGGAAGCGCACGTAGTTGAAACAGTCGGTCTGGGAGGGGACACAGGGGACATTAATGGCACAGCACGGGGCGTGGGGACACGGCGTGGGGACACTGGCATGGGACAGGGGTCACTCCCATCACATGGGGACAGGAGACACAGCACAGGGACACTGGGGCTGGGACACTGGGGCTGGAATGGCATGGGTTCACAGGGTGACAGCACAGGGACACAGGGTGACAGCACAGGGACACAGGGTGACAGGGACACTGGGGCTGGAATGGCACAGAGACAGGGACACAGGGTGACAGCACAGGGACACAGGGTGACAGGGACACTGGGGCTGGAATGGCACAGGGACAGGGACACAGGGTGACAGGGACACTGGGGCTGGAATGGCACAGGGACAGGGACACAGGGTGACAGGGACACTGGGGCTGGAATGGCACA